ATTAAATATATATAACATAATATATTATATATATATATTTATATTATAACAATAATAACGTATTTGCGCGAATGATTAAATAAAATATGAAATAAATTTAAGTGGGGGAAAATATCGAAAAAGATTTCACCATCAAGATATTATGATATTTCATTTAATCTTAATTATATCGCAGTAATAGTTTTTTCTCCCTCTCTCTCTCTCTCTCTCTCTTCTCTTAGCGAGATAGAAATGATTAATGTAGTAGGTAGTGGCATTCAATGGATAATCGGAGGAGAAGTGTTTAAGGAGGGGTAGGATGAGAATATAGGGTAAGGGGTGGGTAGAGGGTTGGGGGAAAACTTGGGTTGAGTTAGAAAGGATAGGACTTGGAATAAATGGAATAGATTGAAACAGACTTCGGGCTGTTGTATTACCGTGCTGAGGAACGAACCAATGAAATGTGAAATACGCGACAAAAGATTCCTCTTTCTCTCTCTCTCTCTCTCTCTCTCTCTCTTTCTCTTTCGTTTTCCTCTCTTACTGAAATCGAAAGCCTTTGTCTCGTACACCGTGACATATGCTTCGAAACCCTTCGGTTTCCCCTTTCACAATTGCGTCTTCTTTCTCTCTCTCTCTCTTTCTATTTCTCTCTTGAGTTTATTTTAAGAAAAGGGCTAAGGTCTCAAAACCGTGCTCAAGAACATATTCGAACGTGTCTGCGTACATATGTCGAACGCGTTCATGTATTCCTATATCTTTTTCTTTTTTTTTTTTGTGTCCTATTCTTAAATCGTTAGCTGTTCTTCTTGTTTGTTCATACGAGACAGCACGTTTTTATGAATGAATATGAATGATATTAAAAATGAATTTTTTAATGTAAATGTGTTTAATCAGATTTAATTTTCATTGAAATTATATAAATCGATTAATTGTAATTGTGATTTATTATTATGATTGGTTTTGTCATTGAATTATTAAATTTTTAGATGTACCAATCGCAAATCACATTAATTGGATTTTTTTTAAAATTATTGTCAATTTAATTATGAACACAGTTTTGATCAATTTTGATATTTATGATTATAGTGTTAAATAAAGAGCCATTTTTTCGTATGTACAATATTTCTTAACTATTTCTTTCGCGTTATTTTATGTGACAATTAGTATCTACTAGTGGCCCTTGTTTTTTTTATTTTGTTGACACATCTATTTTTAATTAGACTACCTAAACGCGATGTATTTCTTTCGAATAGAAATTAATCAGAACGAAATTTCATGAAGTAATTTTGACGCTTTCAATTAACTTATCCTTTGGCATAATAATGTTTTAAATAACGTGTCTGAATGTTAGTAGAATGTAAAATTGATTTTGAGGTTTTAGAATATAGTTTAAGAAGTATCGATAAACCCAACTGACAAAATCTATGCGCTAAAAACAAAGTTACTTTTAGAAGAACTCTCTATGATTACGCGTAATAATGATAATTATCATTAATATCACTAAACGAATGTGAAATTAATTTTCAAACGAATTTATTTCTTATATATTATAAACATAATTTATTCGTGAAAAAAAACTCGTGATTAATATTAAAATATCATTATTTGTAATTATCATTCCTATTATTATACTTTTCTTAATGGTATGCATCATATTGAAATATTATGTATATACGTCAATAATATTATGTCATAACAATAATAATAATAATATCGATGATTGTAGAGAGACAGACAAAATATCGAAAATGTATTCAATTGAAAACAAATTGAGATTTCTTACGTAATATATGTTTATTCGATATAAAATATATGAGCCGTTTATTTTGAAAGTGGCCTAAGTCCATTTACACTTAAATTACTATTACTATAATTATAAACGCAATATAACAAAAGCGTTAATAATAATTTACTGTTTGTCCCCCGAGATTATTACAATATTATCGAAAAGTGTCGGAAAGGTAATAACTTTATTGTACATGAAATGAAACAAGAAGATTTTGAATCAACAAAATTATTAGAAGACGCAATTTTTAAAAGG